GGGGGGGAGTTAATATAAACAGTGAGCTCCCATTCATGCAGGCCTTTACTGCAGAAGGATTTAGGTCATCTTCTAACCTGAGCTAATAGGCATCAAACAGAGCAGCATTACACAGCCAACCTAGGGGCAAAGAACAAGCATCTGCAGGGAAAGATTGCAGATCGTTCCAGGATGACTGTAGAGCGTTCCTGAGTATGAGAGAATAAAAACTGAGCTCCATACTCAGCAGCCAGCAGTCTGTTCTATGTGCCACTAAATGCATCACCAGGAAACGTGCCACTCGGTATTACAGCACAGGTTTGTTAAATGGCTAAATCAGGGGTTGAGAGGTTGCTTTCTGGCTTCCTCACCCAGGGAATCCCTATGACAGCTGGGTTCACAACTAAACATGGAGTCTTTTCATTAAAAAAATGGATTAAAAGCATTATAGAAAACCTTTTCAGGTGTGAAAACTCCGTTTCAATAACAGTTGGGATAGCGTTTTCAATAAAAACTGTGACAAACGTAGATTTAAAAGGCCAGAAGGGATCATTACAATCAGCTAATCTGACCCCTGTATAGCACTGACCTAAGTTCCCTCTAAGCTGCGTGGCCACGCAGCGGGCTATCAAGGGCCGCGCAGGTGGGGAGAGGTAATAAGAACATAAGAACGGCCGTACTGGGTCAGACCAAAGGTCCATCTAGCCCAGTATTCTGTCTGCCGACAGTGGCCAATGCCAGGTGCCCCAGAGGGAGTGAACCTAACAGGTAATAATCAAGTGATCTCTCTCCTGCCATCCATCTCCACCCTCTGACAATCAGAAGCTAGGGACACCATTCCTTACCCATCGTGGCTAATAGCCATTAATGGACTTAACCTCCATGAATTTATCCATTCTCTTTTAAACACTGTTATAATCCTAGCCTTCACAACCACCTCAGGCAAGGAGTTCCACAAGTTGACTGTACGCTGTGTGAAGAAATACAAATAAAAAGAAGTTCTTCTTCACACAGCGCACAGTCAACTTGTGGAACTCTCCCCTGGCCCCGGGCTGCTGTGACGAGAGGGGGCTTGGGGACTCCTCTAACCCCACCGCAGCCCCAGAGCAGCCTGCACCCCAAACCCCTCATCCCCAGCCCCACCCCAGAGCCTGCACCCCGAGCCAGAGCCCTCTCCCGCCCACACACCAACCCTCTGTCCCAGCCCTGAGCCCCCTCCCACACGCCAAACCCCTCGGCCCCCACCCCCTGCCACA